TTCTGTGCAGTCATATCAGCTCCATAGAAGAGAAGATGCTCCAGGTGCTGAACATGGCCATAGCGACATGCCTGCTCGAAATGCAAAATGGAAAAAAGAAATAGAAACAGAAAATCAGTGAGCAGCAGGAAGATGATAAATCCCATAACATCCTCTGCTGGATTCATCCACGCTAGAAAAGTTGAATCAGGCTGGACCTGTAACCTGAAAAGTCCTGTTAACATGCACGCAGACACACTGCTGCTCCTTACAGCAATATACACCTGAATACTTATTGGACGAATTACCTCTAGATCAATTGCAAATTTTGGATCAGCATCATACCGGTACCAGGGCCTCCTCCAGACTGCTATCTCAGTATAATTACCCAGTGAAAAGAAGCCCTGAAGCACAAGCAGGCAAAGAGGACGACAACGGCCCCACATCTCTAGTTAACTGGTGTGGTATTTTCCTCTACATTTTGTCCATCCTCTACGTTTTGTCCATCCTGGGACCAGCAGTCCTCAAAGATCTGCCAAGGCAATGTAGGATGGAGGTAGGAAGGAGGACAGTCATATCCAGTAAATCGAGATCACAAACGCACGTCTCTTGTTTTTTCATTCTCATCCTTAGCTGTGCCAGTACTCGTCCACCTTGCAGGGGGTTGACAGCTGGGTGCTTCGGGAGGCCACGGGCCCAAAGACAACCTGCCCTCCCAATGGTCCAAGACAAGGGGACTCTAGGCAGAGCTAGTGCATTCTCCCTTCTCCCAAAGGGTCTCGGTCTTGAAGCACAAAGCCAGCTCAGGTCCCCTATCCCCTAGTCCGTGTCTTCCCTACGCCAAATGCATTTGTCAATGTGTAAATCTGGGACATGTACAACTGTGGTTTGGAACCAGGATGCCTCAGGCGTTGGACTGAGATCCCAAAGCACTATCCTATGAGCCAGTGATAATCTGGGGAGGATCCCAGACACTACTGACCAAGGCCAGAAGAAAACAGCCTGAGCATTGGCCTGGGATGGGAGCCAGAGCTGGCACACCATGTGCAAGTCCTCCACACAGGAGCCTGGCCCCTGGTGTCAGCCACCCCTGCTGAGCAGTGCCTCCACTGCCTGCAGCACCCAAGGGAATGGGATGACCCCTCTATCAGCAGCAGGACAGCCGTCACCCCGGCCGGATCCCATCCCGCTGTCCATCCCACCTGGTGGATCTCCTGCCAGCCATTCTCGTCCACACAGCCGAGCCGGGCGTAGTCGTGCAGCAGGAGCTCGCAGCAATAGGGATCCCCTCCCACCATGGCACTGTGGTACAGGGGCGTCAACCCCCGGCTGTCCTTGTAGTCTGGGGAGGCACCCAGGTCCAGCAGTGTCTGCAAGAGAAGCACCTGCCTTGCTTTGTGGCTTCAGGCAGCCACGCAGTAGGAAAACATGCTCCGCAGAGGGTCCAGGGATGCCGCAGCCACTGCAGCAGGCAGTGCTCACCCCATCTTCCCCCCAAGGCTCATGTTATCAGTGCCATGCTTTTGTAATGGGCTGTGCTCCCTGACAGCAACGTGAGAGATGCTTTGGCCCAGGGAGGGCACAATGCTGCTGGCAGCCTGGACGGGGTGGGAGGAGGAGCTGGTGCTGGGGCGCAGGGCAGAGGGGAGGGGGAGTGCCCCGCAGTGGCTCCCCCGGGGTGCCCCGCAGTGGCCCCCCCCAACTCACCAGCAGCGCTGCGTGGTTGCGGCACCGGACGGCCTTGTGAAGAGCTGTCATTCCCTCCCGTGTCCGGAAATCCAGGTGTGCTCCCCCATTGCGCAGTGCCTTGATCATCTCGGCGCTGAGCTCCAGCTGAGCGGCCGCGGTCAGGGGACACTCTGCAGAGCCCCAGGAGAGAGATGGGTGAGAACCATGGGGGTGCCCACCCCCTCAGTGGGCACCACGGCACCACCGGCCTCTCCTGGGCACGTCTCCTGCCTGGGCTCCAGCAACGCAGGGTGCTCCCCACTCCCCTCCCCCCATGTCCACTCCCTGCCCCACTCAGACACCGGCAGTATTCCCAAACACCATGCATGCACAGTCTGAGCGGGCTACAGGCTGTCCATCAGTTTCTTTTGGGTGCAGATGAGAGCCCCACAGAGGAGAGGGGGGAGGAAAGCGCTGGAAGTTTAATGAATGGCAGAAATGCCGTTGTTGGCTCTTACACTGCAGGAAAGCACACATCTGGACACATCATTTATACAAAGGGGAGAAGAAGGGGGTGAAAATCGGTATCTTTGTTCAGTTTCTCCCTGCAGCAAGGCATGGAGAACGGGCTGCTGTTTTGGCGGGAGAGGCACAGCTATGCACCCCAGTACCACCACCAGCATCCACAGAGCTGTCCTGAGCTTCTGCACACACAGCTGTCCTGAAGCCAGTCCTCACCGCCTCGCACCACCAGCAGCAAGCTCCAAACGTGAAACGCTCACCCCAAACAGGAGGAAGGCCCCTGCATCTGTGTAACCCCCACCTCACCTCTGAGGAGCCTGGCTTGTCACATAGCAGTCTGCACAAACTTGCCAGCTGGTTCAGTCTCAGCTCTGACCAGGATCAGTCCTGACTCCCAGGACTGCCCAGCACGTAGAACTTGCTCCACTTAGGGATATAGTTTGAGCAGGCAACAGAACTACAGAAATCCCCTTCAACAGTCCTCCCTCACCAAGTGCACCCCCACCGGCCTCCAGCCACCCTCTGTTTTTGTTTTGCGGGTGGGAACAGGAGCCCTGATGCACATAGAATCATAGAATCATTAAGGTTGGAAGAGACCTGTAAGATCATCGAGTCCAACCGCCAACCCAACACCACCATGCCCACTAAACCATGTCCCTAAGCGCCTCATCTACACATCTTTTAAATACCTCCAGGGATGGTGACTCAACCACTTCCCTGGGCAGCCTGTTCCAACGTTTAACCACATCTGTTGCTCTCTATCAGTGCGTGCAGCTCCGAAATGCAGAAAGGCACCTCTGTGCTGGATGGGCAAAGCCTCTTCCAACAGGAGCTGCTACACGCTTCCCTCAATGACCAGACTTCAGCATCCAACTGTCGGCCAAATGCTACCTTGACAGGTTGCAAATTAGAAGTACAGATTGCCTGCCTGCAGGTCCCCACTGCAGTCCTTGCATGGACAAGCGTGGAGGACCCCTCCTTGGGTGGGGGCCACGGCGTTGATACAGGATGGGGGTTTCTGTCCTACCTTGATGGTGTTAGGGAGATCTGAGCTGCAAAAGGACCGTGCTCACCTATCCACGGGCTGATTTGATAGCACAAAGAAGGAAGAAAAATGTCCTTTGACATAAAATGAGTAAAGTCTCCTTAAGAGACAGAATGTTTTTCTGAACATTTTGATTATAATTAAATAAATTTGTTTTCTTCAGAGTGCAATATTAAAAAACAAAAAAAGTACATCTTCTTTCTCAAACAAATCCCTAGGTCTTTTCATCCAAATCCCCCATACCACAAATGGAGCAATGTGAACACTAGCTGAAATAAGATGACATCAGCTAGAAATACAGTTGTGTATTTTTTAGAAAGGTACCTAATTTGCACATAAATTAAAATCTCTCAATTTACTAGAAATAACTATTTAAATGAGAATAATAAAATGGTTTGAGATACAAATAAAAAAGAATAAGAATATTAATTTTAGAGCATTGCTATTAGTCAAATTTTTAAACAAGATAGGTAGAGGTCAGACGACATTCTGTGGCTTTGCTAAAATCCTCTGGGTTTTGTGCTACAAGACATCAACATAAAAAATGAACATTACTGAAGACTGTTGTCAACAGGATTAAAGATGGGTTCACCAATAAAAGGAATCACCAGTAAATGAGAATATTACAGCTGGGTCTTCTAAGGACCTGTCCTCAGCTCAAAACTGTCAATCATTTTTAACAATAATTTGGAAAAAAATAGGAAGGAATCTCTAAGAAATTTCACACACACACACACACACAATGTTGTTATATATGGCAAAGTCAATGGTACAATGAGTAAAATGGTTTCATGCATTCATTGCCCAATGTCAAACTTTAGCAGAGGACAGGTGCAATGCTTTATAGCTAGAAAGTAAGGGATGCATTTTAAGCATGAAGGTAATTACCATTGTAACAATGTACGTATTACATGGGAATGTAATGGTGTCTGCATGACTAGCAATGTCACCCAAGAAAAAGCTGTGGAAATATTTCCTTAGCTCAGCAATAGCTGTGAAGATAAGGGTTTGGTGGAGAATTATTGGTAACGGTCTGCAACCCTTCTCACACTGGGTGCAGCCACTGGGAGAGAACAGTGCCAGATGCAGCACAAGAAATGGTGGAAAACGCCACCACTTGTCACAACTAACAGACGGATGCACTGCTGACATGGTGCCGGGAGAGGTTCTCGGAAGACCTCAGTGGAGTCCACAGAGACATCGCTGTGGTTTCTGTGGTTCAGAAGAGCTGGGTGGATGCGGTGGAAGCACAGTCCACTCTTCCACCAAAGTAGGATGGGGATGGGAAGTCCTGATTCACACACCCACCGCACACCAAGAGAGATGAAGAGCAGGTGACCGTGGGTGAGCTCCTGGGGCAGGAGAGCCTTTCTCCTCCTCTCCACCAACACCAGAACCACCTGCTGTGCAGCTCCCCAGCTCTCATACCCCAGCTCTTTAGCTAGGGCCACTGCCAGCCGAAGGCAAAGGGAAGCTAGAGAGGAGAGTCCAGTGAAGTTTAGGTCTTTTAAGGACCATCACTTATCTTCTGTGCCAAATACCATTGCTTTAATTTCTGTTGTTATCACCGATTTTCAGTTACTGCTTTTTCACCATAATTTCTATAAAAACTCTTCCTTATTTGTAGATATTTTTAATTATTTTGAGAGCACATATTTGGCCCTTGCAGTGTGATAAGAACTCAGACTGCTACAAACTTCAGGTTGTGCATATGAACTGAAGTATCCTCGTCAGTCCCTGCTCCAGGCATCTACTTCCATTTCCACATGCAGTTAAATCATCAGTCTTTTTTCAATATCTCAGTTTAAATGACACAAACTTTTCAAAGAGGCAAAAGACACAGAAAACAAGGCTTCAAATCTTCCTTTAGTCTCAGTTATTAATATGCCAAATTCAGTTGAAAAATCTATCACGTTATCTTGAATCCCGAAGACTGAGAATGGTCCAAATAGGGCATTTCACTGAATGAACTGCAGCTAGCAATTTGTTCACTAAATCTAATCTAATCACTATCTAATCTAGGATTTTAGTGATTACACTCTGCTAATTCTTGGAAACGTGTGTATCCAAATATATGCTTAAAGTAATTAACTAATAAGTGCACAAGATCCGTTGCAGCAAACGAGAACCAGCAAGACAACACATTGCACATTGCACAGCGTAAGAAACTGATTAATGGACATAAGAAGGAGCTGCAGGTTGGACTCTGCCTGTGGGTTGTCAGGCAGCCGAGCTCCACGGTGTGGGTTTGACACCACTGCTCCCTCTGACACTGAACTGCTCAAATGGGAAGAGTTTGCAAGGCAAAGCCAGCACCCAGCTGCACATGGTGGCTGCTCTAACACACCTGATCCCTGACGGGGGTGAGAATAAATTCTGCAGCCAAAATCTGCAACAGCAAATTCAGGCCAGCAGATGAGAGCTGTACTTGGGAGCACCACTGGTGCTCAGGGCAACAGGAGCCTGGGGAAGGAGCAGGTGACATGGTCCGGGTCTAAAAAACTGGTCGTGGGACTGTTCCTTTAATCAGTGGATTGTAGGGAAGCAGAGGTGGAGACTGGAACAGCTTCTCGGAGGATTTCCTTGTGCAAAGGGCACCCTTGCAATCCAGCAGCCTGACTGGCAAGAGCAGCACAGGACTGGGGCATCGCGCCAAGAGCACTCTGCTCTGGCAGCTGGAGCACAAAGCAGGTACAGTTCCAGGAAAGCTTGCAGGAGTTCATTTCTACTCCACTTAAAGGAGTGTCTTGTAACTATGTTTTCTCTTCATTCTGCTAAAAGAAGCTTAGGACAAAAAGCATCACTAATGTTTTAATTGCAAACAAGGTATTCTGGCAATCCTCAGGCTGGTCACTTCTGTAAAAGCAATGAATCCAAACAAGGCTGTGTTGTGGAATAAAATATCTGAGCTCTCGTACCCAGAACCGGACCTGTTCCTGCCAACCGCAGCCGTCTCGGCTTCGGATCAGGTGTTATCCACACACCCCCCACAAGCCGGCAGCAAAAAGACAATTTGAGAGGACAGTCATGGTGTCACACGATGTGGATGCTCCTCTATAGCCTCGTAGAAGAAACAAACTGCAGAGGCTCCTCACATTCAGAGGGTGTCATGAGAACTGGAATTCATGTGGCAAGGCAAAGGCAGTGAGGGAAGGTGAGAAACCCCAGAGAGTGCTCCAACATGAGCAGGAACAACCTCTCCACTCTGATACCAGAATTTAAAAGAAAAAAAAAAAATTAAAAAAAAAAAATCTGTGTTACTCCAGGACTTAGTTTATCATTTAGGAAAAGGGAGGATCTCTGTTCAAGTTGAGATGACAACAGGCTTGATATAAAATTTTTCATGCAAGCTACTGGAGAGGAGGGTTACTGTCTACACAGTGTTCCTATACAGACCTATAGTACACAATACCAGAAAATATCTGCCTATGACAAATACCATCTATAAGTAGAACCTCGTGGTAGTGTTTTTGAGCTGTAGGTGAAAGATGACATTTCATCTCCAATTTCGGTTAAATGCAAACATATCATTTTTCATTAATCTCCAGTTGCACATTTAATTCAAAGAGATGCCACCAGT